TATTGATAAATGTTTTTATTTAAAAAAAAAAAAAGGCAATACAACACTTGATGTGGGATTCCTTGTGAGAGTGAAAAATTCTACATTAATAAAATATATTATTACATACATCTTAATTCTTAATAATATATTTCTTTGCTTCTCATGATTGCCAAGCTCAGTAGCGTGGGCTTGTCACTAAGCGCAGTATTAAAGGGGTCGATTGTGGAATCGAGCTCCAGTGCAAGTGGGTGAACCATTGTCTAACTTCCAGTAACACAAATTGGTACGCACCTGATCCTTACAGATTAGAGAGGACAAAAGATACGACCACAAGTGAGGGATACTGCATCAAACACTATTTCCTGATGCAGAAGGGAGGGGGATGGAGTATTGATAAATGTTTTTATTTTTAAAAAAAGGCAATACAACACTTGATGTGGGATTCCTTGTGAAAGTGAAAAATTCTACATAAATAAAATATATTATTACATACATCTTAATTCTTAATAATAGATTTCTTTGCTTCTCATGATTGTCGAGCTCAGTAGCGTGGGCTTGTCACTAAGCGCGGTATTAAAGGGGTCGATTGTGGAATCGAGCTCTAGTGCAAGTGGATGAACCATTGTCTAACTTCCAGTAATACAAATTGGTACGCACCTGATCCTTACAGATTAGAGAGGCCCTGAATGAGATTGCCCTCAATGAGAGCGGTAGAACTCATACCTCCGGGTTAGAGAGGGCCCAATCCCCCATGGGTTGGCAGGCAAAAAAAATGAAAAACATAATTGCATCATGGGGTTATGACTGAGGGACCCACAATCATATACCATTGGTTGCATAAAGATGAATGGGCACCCACCTGGCGTGCCAACTAGATGACTTGGTCCCACACAACCACTTTTTGTATATAATAATAATCTAAAACATACATATATATATATATATATATATATATATATATATATTGTTTAGGTTTTTCTTAATAAATTCGCTTAATTTTTTTAGATTTGATAAATAAATTACGTACGGAGTAAAATGGAAGCTTGTTTAAAATTTGATCAATAAAAAATAAACATCTTTGTAATTCAATTGTTTTTTTTCTTAATAAATGTACCTACCAAAGGTATAGTGTGCATATATAATAAAAATAAATAAAATTGGAAGCTTGTTTAAAGTGCAAGCTTGAATTATTTTATTTTATTTATTTATTTTATCAATGGACGCTTGCTTATATTCTGATCAATCAAAAATAAGATCTATGTAATTGAATTTTTTTTTTTTTTTTAATAAATGTACCTACCAAATTTATAGTGTGTATATATATAATTTTTAAAAAAATGGAAGCTTATTTAAAATGGAAGCTCGATTTTATTTAAATATATTTTTTAAAATGGAAGCTTGTTTAAATTATGATCAATCAAAAATAAAATCTATGCAATTGAATTATTTTTTTGGTAATATATGTACCTGGCAAATTATCTTTTGGCAAATTTTATCACCTTCTCTCCTTCCGAACCCTTGTTTTTTTTTCACTTCTTCAGAACTTAAAGATGACGAGCAGACCCTTGTGGTGTCTTTTTTGTTTCGTCAAGTTTTCTGGTGGAAGATGCCTTATAGTTAAGGTTGTAAATCAACCGAGCTGAACCAGGCTTAAGTCTATTCGGGAGCACTTGGGATCGTGGTAAGTTCAAAAAGCTGAGCTCAAGCTCGGCTCTTTATTATTTTAAAAAGCTCATAATCGGGTTAGTTTTGTTAAATAACAAAAGTCATTCATGCTCGATTTTAATTTGTATTCAAGATTGTTTTGGTTTGTTCATGAACGTATACAAACTTACACAAACTTATATTTGTGAGATTAAACTAATGTTTGTGAATGTGTTCACGAGCCTATACGAATTTATATTTACATACATATACGAGCTTACATGAGCTTATATGTTTACGAGCTTAACCTAATATTGTTTAGTATCTAACTTGTTTACTAAACAAACCTAGAAATTGAGCGTGAACTCGATTCGTTTGCTTAACCAATGCACAAAAATTGAGTTATTCATGAACACCTCGTTTATTTGCAACCTTAAGAGAGAGTTTGATCATGAAAATAGAGAGAGATCTTTAATGTGAGTGTGTAAAATTTCAAGAGTTAGGGATCCTTTTTATATGGAGTTCTGGGGTCTTCTATAGAGTAGTGATTCTCATATCAAACACTTGAAGTGAATTGTCTATCCCAATAATTTTTAATTAACTATTTATATCAAATATAATTAAGTGAAGGGTTCCAATTCATTATCTGTTGCATAAATAACCAATTAAAAGTATAGATTTAGCAATTCACTGCAATTATTCGGTGCAAGAATTATTTTCTTATAAAAAATGTAGACCAAATTTAACAATATAATGGTGCCATGGCCAAATTAATTAAGGGCCAATAGAAAAGTCATTAAACTTGCAATGAAAGATTCATTCGTGGGTTAAATAAAATGTCATTAATCTTGTAATGGAAGATCTAAATCAGAGAGTCACGAAGATTCACAATTAAAATTTGTCATAAAATAATTTATAAGACCAAAGAGTAAAGATAAGACAGTAAAATTGGGCTAAATAATACAAGTATCAAATTGGGCCAATGTGAGTGATTTTGCTCCACAATCACCTATTTAGTTTGATTATTTAAAAATATGCAAGAATACATATTTTAACTTCAAATTCGAAATTGCTTATCGGCAGCAAATAATAATAATAATAATAATAAAAACTTCAAATTCGAAATTTGAGGGGAGGATGTGTGGCCAACAACTTTTACACAAGTGAGGCCCATTATCTTTCTTTTACATTCTGAATTTGGGAGAGAAATATTTTCTCTAACTATAGTTTTCAAAAATTCTAAAAAACAAATTAGATTTTAGAAAACTTAAAAAGAACAATATTTAAAAGTGGGTATTTTTTTCAACTCGTTTTTAAAAAAATTATCAAACAAACAAATCTTAGAACTGTTTCTTAGTTTTTTCTTTTATTAGAAAATAAAAAATAATTTCAGAAAACAAAAGAATCTTATTAAACAAACTAACTCCTACCTTTTCTTGATGTATATGTTGTCCACTCTTATTCGGTTAAAATTTTTGATCGGATTATTAATTTTTTTTTTTAATAACAAATTGGATCGGAATCAATGCAATATCATCATCTATGGTTGATAATGAAAAAAAGTTATATTACTTGATAGTCAATAAATATTTGTTGAAAAATTGTTCTCAATGTTAACTTGGAATCCGAACATATTAAGCTGTATCTATAATAAGGAAGAATTTGATTTGTATATAAAATATGTAATTCTTTTACCTTTTGGTTTAGGTTTGATGCCTAAATTGATTCCCGAACTGTGCTACTGGGGACTTGACCTCACCTTCTACTATAGTCGTAGGTTATATTTGATGAAACTAAATCAACACATAAAGTCATATGGAATAAAGTTTTTAAGACAAGGATAATGATATTGAAATGCAGCAAGTCAAAGTCAAACCAAAATTGCAATTTGATAAAGCACACATCCAAACAATGCTAGTCAAATACGTATAAAATTAGGAAGATCACAGTCCCTTTGAAAGAAATGAAGAAAAACCACCAAGAGAATTCTAAAAATTCGAACCCCAAGGGCCTCCCACAACTCTACAAAAAGGCTCCCTAGCTTCGGAGATTTTACACACTTGCATTCAAAATCTCTCTATTTTTATGATCAACTTCTCTCTTAAGACTGCAAATAAACAAATTGTTCATGAATAGCTTAAGATTTGCATGTTAATTAAACAAACAAACCGAGTTCAAACTTGATTTCTTGGTTCATTTAGTAAAGAAGTCGATTATGAACAATATTAGACTAAGCTCGTAGACATATAAACTCATATATGTTCATGAATATAAGCTCGTATAGGCTCATGAACACATTCGCAAACATAAATTTAATTTTATAAACATAAGCTTGTGTAAGCCCGAATGACTTTTGTTATTCAACAAGCCTAACCCAACCTGAGCTTTTCAAATTAATAAAGAGCCGAGCTCGAGCTCGGCTTTTCAAACTTATCACAATCTCAAGTCAAGCCCGAGTTAAGCTTGAACTAACCTTCTATTTTGATAGGTGAAAAAGTACCACTATTATAGCCTTGGTTGTATTTGGTGACCCGAATTGAAGTAACTAAATCAGGATTTGTACACTTCAATTAGTGATCATAATTTAAACAATTTTCCATTTTTTTTTAAATATTTAAATAAAATCAAACTTCCACTTTAAATAAGCTTCCATTTTTTTTTTATATTATATATATATACAAAATACATTTGGTAGGTACATTTATTAAAATAAAATAAAAACAATTCAATTACATCACTCTCAAGCTTGCACTTTAAACAGGCTTCCATTTTATACACACACACACACACTATACCTTTGGTAAGTACATTTATTAAGAAAAAAACAATTCAATTACATAGATGTTATTTTTTATTGATCAAATTTTAAACAAAATTTTATTTATCAAACCTAAAAAAATTAAGAAAATTTATAAAAAATGGTTGTATGTGGGATCAAGTCATCCCAGCTGGCACGCCAGGTGGGGGTCATTCATCCTTGGTGTATTGGGACCTCTCTAACCTATGAGGATATGAGTGCACCAATTTGTGTTATGGTGAGTAAGACAATAGTTCACCAACCTGCACTGGAACCCGATTCCACAATCAACCACTTTAATGCCTTGTTTGGTCACAAGCCTACACTACTGAGCTCGGCGAACTTAAGAAGTAACGAAGTCTATTATTAAGATGTATGTAATAATATATTTTATCGATGGGATATTTTTAAGTGTTCAAATTTTTAAGAATTAAAAAGTACTAATGTTATTAAGTTATTCAGCCCTAATTGTCCAACCTGACAGGTGTACCCCATTGTGAAATTCAACCTTGATCGGAATATTGAATCGGCACTCTTCCTTGATTTGGACCAAGTAAACTACAATCATCAAAGATCCATCAATTCTACTCCAAGTTAATTGACTCCAAACTGATTGAACTAATGCCACAAATACACATATTTACCTTAAATATGCAGGAGTATGTCTATATCATCAATACTAAAATACACCACCTCTGATGTGAATACTAATCTAATGGATGAAAACTGATCCTCAACAACAGTAGAGGATAGAAAGAAAGGTAAATATATGGATTAATTTAACATGAAGTGATATTGGAAAAGTCGTGAATGTTTTTAAAGCTCTTACGCAAATATCTAGTTACACTGACTCCATTCAATGTTGCTATTAAACTTCCTTTGAATTCTCAGTCCATGATTTTCTTCTTCTCATCCAGCTTCACCACTGCATTCGCTGTTCTTCTTAAAACTTCATTCGAACGAGACTCACTTATTAGGATGTCTCTACTCATAGCCTTGCTTTGTAGTAGTGACAGTGAGACAGAGAGTGAAGAAGATGGAGAGTGTTGACAAGACTAGTCCTCGATCAGTATTTTGCCTATTTAGTTAGACACCCATGAATGCTCGGCACTGGGACTCCCAATGCTCCTTTGCCTGCCGAACTCGCTCTACTCTCTCCATTTGAAGCCGCTCATCCCAATATTCAGGACAACTGTTGAATTTTGACAAGTGATTAGTTGCTAAAATTATAAGCAATATTATGATTATACTGCCAATCTAATCACTTTTTCCAACCCTCAAAGGACTGAATTTCAGATGAATGGCCACAAAGTGAATGACATATATGGTAGAGGAATTAAAACATACCTTCTACTTAACAGGATGTTGAGCTCTTCCAAGTGGACAGCACCTTCATAAACTCCTTCCTAAAATCAGCCCAAACAAATTACGAAACAATGAAGTAGCTTTGAAATGGGACTTTGTTTGACAATAGATGTTAGCATGCTAATTATACAGAAGGCAAACTTTTGAAGTTATGAGGTAAAGTTAGAGCAAGACCAACTGTAGATATAAACTTACTTCTCGGCAGAGAGGGCATTTTTCCTTGGGATCTGCTGCCTTCATTCCATCAACAATGGTTACTGATGCAGCCTTGCAAGCACACATGTGACAGAAGATATGACCACAAGTGAGAGATACTGCATCAAACACTGTTTCCTGATGCAAAAGAGTAAGGGGAAGTATTGATAAATGTTTTTATTAAAAATCAGGCAATGCATCACTTGATGTATGTCCGTCCCTCATATGCAGGATTTTGGGAGGAAAAGACTGAAGACAAGCCTAATCTTTAACATTATTTTACATAAAGAGACTGCTTTCGTATTTAGACCTGCAAAACTTGTGCTTATCAGTCCATAGAAGAAAAAAAATCAAATGAACAAGTATATGGATGTGTTTGATAGAAGTTTTAGTGTCAACGAGTGAAAGAACTTGCAAATATATAGAACAAGTCATTGTGAATCTTGAAAAAATCTAAGAGCTCAAGTGTCTCCAAGATTATAGGTTCAAATCAAAATTATGGGAGATAATAGAAAAGAAATTCTGGGGACTCACCAAACATATGGAGCAAGTCAGGTCAATGCCAAACTTGAGGGAATCAAAGAGATGACAAGAGAGTGATGGTTTGCATATGACAGAGCATCCCTCGAACAACACGGGGACATTCCTTGTATTGGCCTCAATCCGCCTCGAATTAACATGAAAAGCCATAAGCTCGTATAGCCATGGGGACTGCAGGATTTCAATATGCATACTTTGCGCTTGTGACTTGAATGCTTGGCCTTTTTTAGAGAAATGAATCTATAGTTCAAGATAAAAACATGTAAAACACTTGATATGGGCTAATTAAAATCAGTTGCTACGATTGGGGTAAACAAACCTTATCATATTTCTTAAGTAATTTTCTCATTGCCACGGTGTTGATCAATGCATAAGTAATCAGGTCCTTGCCTTCTTGAATTAAGTCAATGTGGTTACCCTGCAGCTTGTCTTTAAAACTAATGAAGTACTTATGGAAACCTGAAGAGTGATGCCTCTCAATCAATTTCTTCGCGCGCTTGTTAAAGCATCTGACTACTGCAGACATCTCCTTGAGAAGGGTCTGGAAAAAAACCCCATCGCAAACTACTCATAGATTTAGGTTAGAATCCAATCACAACTCAAACAAGCTTAAAACATAGAGGAAGCCATAAATAAATATAAAATCAATGAACCAAATACAGAGGAACCCATAAGTGTAGAGTAGTAATTTGAGTATGTAACTAATTCTAAAGAGTTGCAAGTACCTGGGCAAGTGGAGACCCCACCATGGTCGGGGAAGTGAGGGTATCTCCTACAATTCTTCAAAATCTTCTTGAGCTCCTTATGTCCTATCCCAGCCAATTTCTTCTCATCTTGTCCCTGCCTCTCTAACTGGTATTTCTTTCCAAATTTCATCTTTCCACCTATCAAGCACAAACAATTCCACAAACAATCCTCACAATTGACTATGTTTTCACTCTCTTTTTTCTCAAATTGAAGTATAAAGCTCCAATCACTTTTGACTTTATATATATATATAGTGAGAGAGAGATGACGGCTAATTGGAGATAAAACCGTTCTTAATATGGGTGACAACAGACAACTAGCCGACTTGCTTGTAGACCTAGTAATATGTATATCATATATATACGGAACCAAACAATAAAAAACATCTCCAAGCGTGTTGGACCAATTTTTGTTAATGGAAAGTTGTCTGCTGAACTCATGTGTTAAAAGGATTAATTTTAGATTTGTAGTAGTTCCGAGGAATTGAACTCCATGAGCTTAATTTGTTAGTAATTAAATCAGCCAAATACACATTTTAGAATGTCAAGTTTTTGACTCATTTTACAGTGGACCACGTATACTTTGTTACTATAGTCCGCGGGAAATAAATAAGAATAGAAATATTTAGACCCTTTTTTTTTTTTTTAAGCAACTGAAATAAATAAAGGATAATTACAAAAGGTAGGCCTTAGGCCAAACATCCCAATTGGGTCACAATACAAGCCCAGTGGCAACAAGGGCCAAGCCCAACAAGTGAACAACATACATTTGAAGTACCTAAATCAATACTTAGAATTTGTACACTTCAATTAGTGATCATAATTTAAACAATCTTCCATTTTAAATAAGCTTCCATTTTTTTAATTATATATATATATATATATATAGACATTATACATTTGGTAGGTACATTTATTAAAAAAAAAAAAAACAATTCAATTACATACATCTTTTTTTTGATTGATCAGAATTTAAGCAAGCTTCCAATTAAATATATATATATAATATATATCAAGCTTGCACTTTAACACAGGCTTCCATTTTTTTTTTTATATTATATATATACACACACTATACCTTTTGCAGGTACATTTATTAAGAAAAACCTAAACAATATTTGTATAATATAAAAAGTGGTTGTGTGTGGGATCAAGTCATCTTAGTTGGCACGCCAGGTGGTGGTCATTCATCCATGCAACCAAGGGCCATTGGGATGTGCTTCCCACATGCTATGGTTGTGGGGCCCCTCCAATATAACCCCTTGATCCAAATTTGTTTTTTTAGCTTGCCAACCCTTGGTGGATTCCTTGATCCAAATTTGTTTTTTTAGCTTGCCAACCCTTGGTGGATTGGGCCCTCTCTACCCGAAGGGTGTGCATTCCGCTTTCCGGTCCTCCTCTCTAACATGTGAGGATCAGGTGCACCAATTTGTGTTAAGGAAGTAGGACAATGGTTCACCCACCTGCTGTGCATTGGATTCCAGTGGCAACCAACCACTTTAATGCCCCGCTTGGTCACAAGCTCATGCTATCGAGCTCGGCAATCATGAAAAGCAAAGAAGTCTATTATTAAGATGTATGTAATAATATATTTTATCGATGTGGATATTTTTAAGTGATCAAATTTTTAAGAATTAGAAAGTACTAATGTTATTAAGTTATTCAGCCCTAATTGCCCATCCTGACAGGTTTACTCCATTGTGAAATTCAGCCCTGATCAGAATATTGAATCGGCAATCTTCCTTGATTTGGACCAAGTAAACTAAAATCATCAAAGATCCATCAATTCTACTCCAAGTTAATTGACTCGTAACTGCTTGAGCTAATGCCACAAACACCACCTTAAATATGCAGAAAGGAGTATGTCTATATCAATACTAAAACACACCACCTCTGATGTGAATACTAATCTAATGGAAGAAAACTGATCCTCAACAACAGTAGAGGATAGAAAGAAAGGCAAATACATGGATTAATTTAACATGAAGTGATATTGGATAAGTTGTGAGTGTTTTTAAAGCTCTTATGCACATATCTAGTTACACTCCATTCAATGTTGCTATTAAACTTCCTTTGAATTCTCACTCCATGATTTTCTTCTTCTCATCCAGCTTCACCACCGAATTCACTGTTCTTCTTAAAACTTCATTCAAACAAGACTCACTTATTAGGATGTCTCTACTCATAGCCTTGCTTTGTAGTAGTGACGGTGAGACTCAGAGTGAAGAAGATGAGAGTGTTGACAAGACTAGTCCTCGATCAGTATTTTGCCTATTTAGTTAGACACCCATGAATGCTCGGCACTGGGACTCCCAATGCTCCTTTGCCTGCTGAACTCTATCTACTCTCTCCATTTGAAGCCGCTCATCCCAATATTCTGGACAACTGTTGAATTTTACATGATGGTGAACTTAAAATGAATGGCCACAAAGTGAATGACATATATGGTAGAGGAATTAAAACATACCTACTGCTTAACAGAATATTAAGCTCTTCCAAGTGGACAGCACCTTCATAAACTCCTTCCTAAAATCAACCCAAACAAATTACGAGACAATGAGGTAACTTTTCCATTTCAAATAATGCTTACCCCCCACTTTCTTGGGGTAACAATTTGTACGCCTTCAGATTATGACATGGCCAATGGATAATTGCAGACACTCAAAGGTATGAGGCATTACATCCAATGTACATGGCACGTACAAATCATAAATATTCAAGTAAGAAAGAGTCATATGGTTTAGATTGAGGGTAATGTTAAAGGAAGTGAGAAAACAAAAATATTAGGGGTGGAGATAGTCAGGAAAAAGATGTGATAGCATGTGGTTTGATTGAGATAATGACTTTAGCTAGACCGCAATAGTGAAAAAGGGGATTCACGTACTTAAACACAAGCACTTGGAAAAAGATTTTGTTGAGTTGGATTAAGACGGATACTCTTGATGGTTTAGGGTTAAAAAAAAAAAAGTCATGTAAGAATAGTGATGACGGCATAGTAAAGCTCATATTACATCGGCTAGTGTGGCAGAAGCTCAGTGATGAGGGCTGCTTTCAAATGGGCTTTTGATAATGTTTTATGTCAACTTGAGAAAGTTATATATGCTAAGGCTATAACTGAGGAGAAGTCATGTTGCAATATGGGGGTGTAGCTATAAGGACATCAACTGGTTGCTGCAAAAATTAACTTGAACAGTTCTAACTTCTAAGAGCATGTAATAAGGCAGCTCATTCATCAAGCCAATATGTTGTGAGGATGAGATTGAATTGTAGCTGTTTGGGATCTCTTCCCCCTGATGTGAAGGACGTAATTGAGAATGATTGAATGTGTCATTTTTAGTTGTTTGAATTAAAACCTGATTTCGCGCGGGGGGGGGGGGGGGTGTGGGGTGGTGGTGGTTGGGGGGGAAGTACACTAAACTTCCCATTATTGAATTTTTCATCAGTCCCACAAAAATAGATGTGAAATGGGAATTTGGTTGACAATAGATGTTAGCATGCAGATTATACAGGAGGCAAACTTGTAAAGATATGAGGTAAACTTAGAGCAAGACTAACCGTAGATATAAACTTACTTCTCGGCAGAGAGGGCATTTTTCTTTGGGATCTGCTGCCTTCATTCCATCCACAATGGTTACTGATGCAGCCTTGCAAGCACACATGTGACAAAAGATATGACCACAAGTGAGACATACTGCATCAAATACTGTGTCCTGTTGAAAAAAGGAAAAAGATAGGCATTGATCAATCTTGCAATTTTGAGAAGAACTACATAAAAAACTTACTAGTTCTTCATCCAAGATCTCTACATTGATATTCCATACGATGCTAAAAGGTATCAATAAAGAAATTGCCTCATGATGAATAGAAGACATTTTAAATTGCATTTGGGCAACATTAATGCATAACATGTAAAACAATAATTTGCAAAGTGCACAGTTATAATCACTATCTGAAGAACATGAAGTAAATAATAGAGAAACAAATAATTTTCATTAACCGATTTGGACTTCAATCTGAAAGGTCAGTTCAATCCACTGCATATGGGACCCCAACTATATTGGAGTGAGGCTATAATGAAAATCAAGTCAGAAAGTGTGAGAACAAGTTGAGGAATCAGAGCAGAAATGGAACCCATACAAGTTCCAGCTACCAAGCTTCTTCACTATATATATGTTAGAATTGGCACAAATTTTGATTGGTTAAATCATGTGGTGGCTTAAATGTGATTGGTTCAAGTGATGTGTGATTTTGTAATTGGTTGGTCAATGGTGAGTCAAATGAGTCAATTTAATGAGTGAATATACCAATGGTATATGTGTTGGCAGTAAATGAAGTGTATGAGGCGGTTGGCCAGTCAAAGAAGGTCTGAAGAACAGAAAGAGTGAGTGCAGAAAAGAGAGAGATTAGTAAGGGCCAAGAGTGTGTGTCTTAAGAAGATTGTGTATCTTTGTTCAGGGAGTGAGTGTAGAATACCTCTTGGTAATCTATAAAGTGTTGTAATCTTCTCTGTTCTGAAATAAAAGTGAGTGGTTCTTCATCCGTGTGTAAACCTTGTTATTTGTTTAGTGTGCTGTTTCAATCTTATTTTCTCTTCTTGTCATTGCATACTTGTGTGTGTGTGATCTTGGGCGGATTAATTCCTAATGAGTGGTATCAGTGTCGATACGAAAGGGGTTAATTCATAACAATATATATATTAACATTTCAATAAAACCTTGATAATCTTTCAATATTGACAAACGAAAATTTATTATAACAAGAAACCAGACATACCTAAAATAGATATTTTTATTTTAAAAATGAAGAAAAGAAGAAGAGGAAATGCATCACATAGTGTAGGTACCTCATATGCAGGATATTGGGAGGGGAAGACTGAAGACAGACATGATCCTTAACATTATGTTACATAAAGTGACTGATTTCGTACTTGAACCTACAGCCTCATGCTCATCAGTCAACAGAAAACATCAAATGAACAAGTATACGGATGTGTTTGACAGAAGTTTTAGTGTCAACGAGACAGAGACGAAAATATAGGATATGCAAAAACATAGAACAAGTCAATGTGAATTTTGAAAAAATCTAAGAACTCAATTATCTCCAAGATTATAGGTTTAAATCAAAATTATCATATAAATAAAAAGAAAATCCGGTGACTCACCAAACATATAGGGCAAGTCAAGTCAATAGCAAGCTTGACAGAATCAAAGAGATCACAAGAGAGTGACGGTTTACATATGACGGAGCATCCGTCGAACAACACAGGGGCCTTCCTCAAATTAACATGAAAAGCCATAAGCTCATATAGCCATGGGGACTGCAGGATTTCAATATGCCTACTTTGTGCTTGTGACTTAAATGCTTGGCCTTGCTTAGAGAAATGAATCTAATAGTCAAAATAAAAACAAGTAAAATACTCAATATTCACAAATCAAAATCACAAAAAGGTTTGGTTTATGCTCAACTTTCTTGCTAGAAGTGGGATAAACAAACCTCATCATATTTTTTCAGTAGTTTTCTCATTGCCATGGTGTTGATCAATGCATAAGTAATCAGGTCCTTGCCTTCCTGAATTAAGTCAATTTGGTTCCCCTGCAGCTTGTCTTTCAATCGAATGAAGTATTTATGGAAACCTGAAGAGTGATGCCTCTCAATCAATTTCTTCACGCGCTCCTTAAAGCATCTGATTACAGCAGACATCTCCTTGAGAAGAGTCTGGAAAAAAACCCCGTCGCAAACTACTCATAGATAAAGTAACCAAGCTTAAATTAAACACTTCACCTAGTAATAGCCCTTAGAATACATATCTGATCAGTACAGACAGACATATAAGTACAATTTTCCTATTCTTCTTTTTTGCAAATGCAAAATAAGCTATAACACATGGGACTTTTTCAAGTCCATCCTAGAGATCAGTGGCTAACAAGATTCATATCAAGTGAATAAACTATAGACTATAGAGTGACTTCAATTTATTCAGTTGTACCAATTAATCAAGGTCTTTTTGATTAGGAGTAGTGAGTGAAACTTCTATTGTTTGACAAAAGTAGGTAGCACTTGTTGATTAAGATGGGAGTTCAAATAAATAGTTGACTATCTTTAAGACTTTAAGTTGAATATCACACACAAATTTTTGATACCTGCCATCTTCTCTTCTTTTGCTGTGCATTTTCTTCCCATCCAATATGTACAACTAATTCAACTCACTAATAAAATGCTATGGAGAGAGAGGAAAAAAAGACAAATAAAATGAAGAAAAGGGAAGGAGAAGAAAAATGTACAACTAAAAGATATGGGTAGAAAGAAATAAGTAAGTTTATCACGAGGGCAGCATGTGAGGTCACGCTAATGATCTCAATTCAATGACTCAGGATATGAGCTCAACTAAGAGCACTATAATTTTTTATAACTTTTTTTTTCCACTACAATTTATGAAAAAAACAAATGCTAATATTAAAAAAGGAGAGAACTGAAAAAAGAGAGAAATGAAGAATAAGGAAATATATAGACAATTTCACCTCATTTATGAAAAATTAAACAAAATCAGAGAATCAAATGACCCAGATATTAAAACAAAACATAGAGGAAGCCATAAATATAACAATCAATGAACACAATATAAAGGAGCCCATAACTGTAGAATCAAAAACACCACATATACATATATGTATATATTTTGAGTATATATAACTAAGATCTGAAGAGTTGTATACAATTACCTGGACAGGTGGAGATGTCATTGGGGACCCCATGATCAGGGTCAATTTGGGACTGATCAAGATCTCTCCTACAATTCTTCAAGATCTTCTTGAGCTCCTCATATCCTATCCCAGACACTTTCTTCTGATCTTGTCCTTCCATCTCTAAATTGTATTTCTTGCCAAACTTCATCTTTCCACCTATCTAACACCAACAATTCAACAAAAAATTAATCCTCACAATTCACTCTCTTTGCACTCTCTTATTTCTCAAATTTAAGCATAAAGCTTCAATACTTGTGAATATGAGTGCACTAGTTTTTGCTCCAATGAGCCTCTCTATCTTTATCACCCTCTCTGTATATGTGCGTGTATATATATATTTATTTTATGAGTTGGAACCATACAGTAAGAGAGCACTTCTCCAGGCAAGTTGTATGGATTCCAATTAGCCTTTTCTCTCTCTCTCTCTCTCTCTCTCTCTCTATATATATATATATATTATTTTTGTGGTCCCATTAATTGAAGTACTTGAGTTTCGTTAGTATTTTATTTATTTATTTATTATTATTTTTTAAAAGTTTAATCAAATAAAAAGACAAAATTGTCCTCACATTCGATCACAGCATATCATCTGTACTAATGTCCACATGTTAACTTGGTTAGTAATTGTGAAAAACAAAAAATCGAAAAATTTAGACTGCGTTTAGTAATAAGGAACGTTTTTTATTTTCTATTGTCAATATCTAAAAAAGCAAAACAAAAATAAAAATCGTATTCAATAAAATGTTTTTGTTTTTCTATAACAGGAAACGTTTTCAATTTTTGTGAAGAAAAGAGAAAATATTAAAATAATATTTCTTATATTTTCGGCACTGTAGCGCTGAAACATTTTTACTAATGTTACATGCACTATTCATTTCAAATAAATTTCATATTATTTGTGTTATATACTAAGTTGCATATTAAATATTAATAAACATATATATTTTTAATATAGAATAAATTAAATATTGTATATTATTTTCTATTTAATAAAAATATATTTTAATATATAATATATTAAATAATAATGTAAATTATTTTTTGTGACAAAATAATTTTTGATATAAAATATAATGTTATTAAATTATTAAGCCGTAAATATTTTATATTATTGTATATTATATCTATATTATATTATATGTAAATATTAAATTATAATTAATTTACAATATTATAACACAATATATATTTTATTACATATAAGATATATTATTTAATATTTTTTATTCATAATAAATTATCATGTTCTAAATATATTATATATCACATAATAAATGTATACATCATGCATATACATGTATTTATATACATAATTGGTGGGAATGTTTGTGTCTTGTTATATTTAATTTTGTACTTAATTATGATGTATTGGGTATTTTTAAGATTTATAATTTTAAATTAGATTTTCTAGATTTATGGTTTTTTGATATTAATGGAAATAGTTAGGTTGCTTCCTGTGTTCGAGAGTTCGTGTTCAAGTCATCTACCATCCCTTCTAATCAATAACTTCTAAAATTCTTGTCATGAAAAAAATAAAAAATTTAAAATATATTATGTACATTTTGTGACAAATATGTTATATTACTAAACACAGTTATTGTTTTATGTTTTTCAAATTTGTGACAACAACAAGTGTTAATAAACATTATTTATGTTTTCAATTTTCACTCAAGAAAGCAAAATCATATTTCTGTTTTCTTAAGACTGCAAAAATAGAAAACGATAACGTTACTAAATTTATCCTTGGTTGGTAATTCAATCCCAAAATAATGCACATTTTAAAATGTTGAATGTTAAATTTTTAAGTCCAAAATATCATCTATACTAATGTTCATGGGTTAACTTGGTTAGTAATTGTGAAAAAAAAGAAAAGTTGGTTAGTAATTCGATCCCAAAATAGGGCACATTTTAAAATGTTGAATGTTAAATTTTTAAGTTCAAAATATCATCTGTACTAATGTTCACGGGTTAACTTGGTTAGTAATTGTGATGGAAAAATAAAAAACTTGGTTAGAAATTCGATCCCAAAAAAATGCACATTTTAAAATGTTGAATGTTAAATTTTTAAGCCCAATCCAACACATTATTTGACTCATTTTACAACTGGGTAGGAACCATGTATACCTTGTACATGGTCTGAAAAAAAAAAAAAGAAGAAATTTTGTTTTAGTTTGGTCTTTTAGGCCTGATTGATATGCGATATGTTTTAGGTGTTATATTTTTTGTCAATATCAAAACAATTGTTTTGTTGTAAGAATGTTTTAGGTAGAAATCGAAATCATGTTTAGCAACGAAAACTTGTTTTGAAAAATTCGAAAATTTGTTTTAGTTCTTCCGCTACAGTACAAAAATACACAATATTACCAATTTGGTGATATAGGTTTGAGGCAAAAATTCTGATATGTTATAAACTATTTTAAACCAACATCAATTGTTCTAAATATTATATGAGTCCAAATTTAAAGACTAATATAAAAAAAAATAATATCATAATAAATTTCCAAACATGCCTTTAGAGCATGCCCAGCGCAAGCCAACTTTGTATAATATCTACGGCTGTGGAGAAGCAAAGTGTTTGGTGTGCGGATTCCACACTCGTGGGCCCCATCACATATTGTAGACTTGACACTACACATGTGGGGAATTGAGTAGCACCTAACAATGTTGGTTTTGTGCGTGAATAATAAAATAAAATGCAAAATTTATATTGTGTGATAGGTGTGTAGAATAATTATTGTATGTTATTTATTTAAGATTTATTGTGTATGTTTTTTTATGTGTATTAATAGTATTATATTGAATAATTAATGTGAAAGAGTCATAATTTAATTAATTAAAAAAGAGTTATTTTTTTAAATAAATAAAAAGAGTTATTTAATTTGCATAAGAATTTAATTAATTATTTTTTAAAAAAAATTGTACTTTTTGACTTATCAATTTAATTAATTTATTAATTACATAATAATTTAATTAATTTGCATAATAATATAAAAAATAACATTTTATTCGATTAATAAATTTAAACATCTTCATCACATAATGATTTAATAAATTTGCAAAATAATTTAATAGAGTGTAGAATGAAAAGAAATTAACAAGATGGAACGGGAGCAAGTTCTTCGGGAATGACAAATGATGGAAAAAAAATCCAAATGATGCTGCAACACCGGCGATGAAAGCATGGATTGTTGATCGACAGAACAAAATTATGGCGCGTTATACAAAAAGGGGCAATTAATTGTAATGTTTACTTCTTCTTTTTTCATGTGTGAGAGTATTAATGTATTTTTTTTCCTGAGTTATTTTCTTTTATTTTATTTGTAAGAAGCTATGTAATGCACTTTTTCTTTTATATATCTAATTTTTTTGTTTTTTATATTATTTTTTAAAAATTTTTTTATCTAAACATATAATCGGAGCAAATAACTATAGCCGTTAACATTATAGTTGTTGAGAATAAAAACGTCGAAAATATATATATATATATATATATATATATATATATATATATATTATTTTTTAAAAAATAATAATATAATAAAGTATAAATTGAAAAAAAAAAAAAAAAAAAAGTGCACAACAAAAACTTGTATTCATTTGTTGATGTGGCTCTATACTTTAGTTAATGTGTATAATGAAAAAGAAGGCGCGCCCGAGATGCTCTTATTTCATTGCCACATTATTATTCTTCTTCTTCTTCTTCATATTTTTTTTATTTTTTATTTTTTATTTTATTTTTATTTTTTATTTTTGTGGCCTTTTTTCTGGTGTGTGCGTGTGGAGGGGGTTTCGTTCTGTAACTATCTAACTTTGCGACTTTAATTTGCAAACACTAATAATGCTAGTTGATGAAGACCTTAAACAGGAGTGCGAAAGTGAATGGTTGATGTTGTCATATAAAATTTTCAACCGAAGAAGAGTGGGATAAGATGGAATATCAAGAACAGACAGGAGTTTGTTTGTTTATACTTTATATAGATCCTTTTGTTTTCTCAAAATATTTTTTATTTTCTAAAATTTGTTTGCTTCATAATTTTTTGAAAATCATCACTTTCAAAAATACCCAGTTTTACATATTACTCTTTTTAAGTTTTCTGAAAATTACTTTTATAATTTTTGAAATCTGTACTTAAAAGAAAATGTTTTTCTTTTTTAAATGAATATGTGATAACTATATATATATAAAGTAGTATTGGAGGTGGTTCTCAATATTGTTGAAATTCATTGGAGGTGGTTCTCAATATTGTTGAAATTCAAAATTACTATTTAAAGTAGTATTTATTTAAACTATCCTACCATCAACAAAAATATCATTTGCCCAGAATATTACATAGCCGGTACTAGTAATTTTCCTAATTAGGATTTGATAAATATATTTGCCTGCCGTGGTCTCGGATGGGTTTGTATTTGATGAACAAATTGGAAGGAGGACAATTAAATTATTTTAAAGAATCTAAATATAAGATGGACAGAGCGGCCGAAACTGAAGTCACTGAGCCGGCTATCAAATATTGCTAGAAGTATCTCTAATTTTAAATTAATTAATTTTTTGAGATAGACACCGTCAAAATACCTAGACATGTTTCAAGATATAGCGCAGTCAATTTGTGAATATTTTTTTTAAAAAAAATCATGGGGTTTAGCTTGAATTTTAAATTTTATTAGAGTAAAAATGTAAAAATAAAAATTAGAACTAGAATCAGAAAATCCCTTATTATTTTCAAAAACGACAAATAACTCCCTCAAATAACAAAAAAATCCCTTGAACTAATTAAAACTATCATGTTGCTTCCTGTAATGACCCGAATCCGGGGGTCCGAATCGTTTACCGGGTCCTTACCAGAACCCGAGGTTGTCTAACTATGGTAAATTTTAAGGTCAATACATAATATACGTGCGATCCCAAAGCTTCAGCAGATCACAAATACAAAAGATGATAAAACAGTTCACTAACCCATTTAAACTTATGGAGGAACGCCGTCCGCCACTTCCTTCCCGTGATCTGAAAAATGTAATAATATGATGGGGTGAGCTCAAAAGCTCAGTAGATAATGTCTAAAACACCGGTTTTGGACTCCCTTGAGCCAACAACCAAATAACAGGAAAAAAAGATATCGGGATCATATACGGGGAATTATCAAAATAATAATCCACGTTATTCAATTTAAAAAAATTATCATCACATAATTAATCATAATCATAGGTGCCAAAATGCCATGAAATGCAATGCATTGCGTAACCGTCCCGAGCTTGGTCTCACACCAACCCCAAATCCCTACCTACGTTAACTGACTTTACCGAGCTGGGATTGACACTCTTAGTGTCAACTTTTTCACGCCCAACACCGGGCCGCGCCCACTCTAGATCACGTTAGCCGCTAACTAACTTTACCGAGCCGGGATTGACACTCTTAGTATCAACTTT